GTAATGCCCAGAAGATCTGGGTTATTAATCTGCTTAATGTAATTGGTGATGTGGTGTTGAAGTTGAATATCCCAAATATTACGAATGTTATAAAATTGTGGATGTAGAAGTGTGCTTGTAGGAATAGTTCGATTTAGTTTAGCTTTGTGTTTAACGAGCTTGATATGGTGAGAGAGTATCTTTTTGCAGATATGTTGGCTAAGAACAAGATTATGAAGTCGGTATTCAGTAGTAGGTATAATTACTGTATTAATAATATACCGAGCATGAGTATCAGTAATACGTTTAGTATCTGCGATTTGAATAAGGTGTAGTGATTCTTCAATAATGAGTTGTGTTTGTTTTGTAAATTTGTTGTCTAGGGTGAACCAACATCCAAGAAACTTGAAGGGTATATGATGGGAGTGCAAAGGTAATGAATGTGAGTTGTAAATAATAGGGTTGTAGTGAGGAGGAGGATTATTGGTGCAGAGAATAGATTTAGAGGGATTGACTTGAATATTGGCCATATCATAAAATGATTGGGCAACAGAAAGAATTTGAGAAAGTTCTTGTTGAGAAGAGGCAAGCCAAAGAGTATCATCCATATAGGCTAATACTGAACACTTGGCTTTAAGTTGTTTAAAAGATTTGTTTTTGAGACTAGTAATCCAGGATGTTTGCATGTTGTATCCAGAGAAATGTGAGTGAATATATGTTATAAGTGGGTCATAATATATTCTCCATAGAAGTGGAGTAATAGTTTCTCCTTGATCAATGCCACTTTGAACAGGGTATGAAGGAGTTAGCCCCAGATTGGTTATGACTTGGTTGTGGCGATCTGAAAAGATATTAATAATAGTCTTGATAATAGTAGTTGGTAGAGCAAGTCGAACTAGTGAATGCTGAAGTAAGGAGAGATTAACAGAATCATAGGCCTTGCTCATATCTTGAGACAGAAGCCATATGTCCTTATGATTGCAAGAAGCATCCTCAATGAGATTGCGCTTGTCTGCAGCAGTGGTCAGTTCCAAACTGTATGTCTGACATGCTATTTATTCATTTAGGTAAGGGTTGCCTTTAAAGTTGTAATCGATAGTGCCGGCCACACGATCAATTTTGATTCTAGGCAGGGACGCCCCGTAGATTGAGTGATCAAACGAGACGGTGTCATCAACATCATTGAAGTATTTGGTTGGGGTGTTAGCAGGTTGTGGCTCGGGTTCTTTGACGGTGATTTGTACTGCTGGTGTTGGAATGATTTCATGTTCAAACAGGTACTGCCAGTATCGTTGAAGCTCTCTGGCGCGGACACTGGTGCCATCGGTGTCTACTTGAAATCGGCAGTTGGGGAGCATTTTAGCTAGATAATTGTGAACTTGTGGTGCGAAATGGTCACCCCTCTTGATGGTCTCTATCAGCTCAGGTTTGTCATACCAATAGGGTTGGTAATCAGTGATGAACACTGAGCCTTTCCCACAAGTCAGTGCAGTTATGAAATTCTGAAAACTGATAACAGAAGCATACTCATTAATCATGATGCCGTAATCTGAATTTAAGGTTAGTACTTGAGAGTTGGAGTACGTGTAAGCAATTTGGCTGTTATCCGTAGCAGTGCTGACGCTGTTTGAGTCGGGGTAAAGGGTAATGGCTTGCTGACTAAGCTCATCGGAGTAGTGGACCTATCCAGTGTTTGTGGAGAAGGAGCGGATTCCGAACAGAGCAGCAACTCTCGGTGGTAGTCGATGGGTGTAAAGGTAGTAGACTTTAGCTAGATTTTTGAAGTAGAGCACTTCGGGCATTTTATCATTGAGCCTGGTTTCCGGATTAGGATCATAGTAAACCGACTGTAAGATGTCCCCAGTGATGATGATTTTTTTAATGTTACGATAGAGAAGAAGCAAGTGGTCAGTGTAACCAGGGGGAAATAAGCCAATGTCATCGATCATAACAATATTGTTCACTGGTTGTATGAGCGCCAATTTGAATGTTTTAATGCAGAAACCCCATTGGGTATTGATTTCGTTGGCGATTTTATTTCTTAGTAGGGTTCTGGCTGTGATGATAGTCATTGAGTGGTGATGCTTGTGACGTGAGTTAGTGGACAATTTTCGTTTCGCCATTAGGAGAGGGACGGCAGATTTGCCTGAACCGAAGGCGCCATAAAGAGCCAGGACTTTAACTTTTTTTGGTCGGGTTTTTTCCACAATGGCATCGAATTCATGTCCTTTGTTCTCGTCATTCTCGGTCTGGATGTGGTGTATAGTTTCAGTATGCTTATTCTTGATGGCACGGATGTAGTGCTTAGCCCGCTTTGCCTTAGGGGTGTATGATTTCCAGGCACCATTAGTTATCCTGGCTAGGTTGTTAATGGTGATGTCAGGGTATTCATGGGTGGAGGTAGCTCCATGTAATTTGGCAATTTGGCCGAGGTAAACCCAGTGGTGCGGTACCCAGCCAAATCCAAGGATGAGCTCTTGACCTGCATTGATGAGCACGTCATTGTGTCTGTGTAGAGTAATTACTTGGGCAGTAAAACCCAACTGTTGAGCAATGGTGGTCAGTTCGATATTTGTTAGCATCGGACTTTCGTCACTGATGGCTTGTGCATGCTAAAGTGAAGTGCCTTGGCAAAGTGCTGACCAAACCACATGAGTGTTATCGTTTAGGGCGTGAGCAACTGCGTCTATTAGGCAGGTGTTGTTCGTTGGAGCTGGTAAGTGATTGTTGAGAACATTCGTTAGATTAATATGCAAGCACTGTTGCTGTCCGGGCTGGATAGAGGGTTGTAAATGCGGGTTTATGTCAGCCAAATTGGGATTGGCACAGATTTCTTGCGGCGTGGGGTCGGGGTGATTGAGCAAGGTTATTGCATAACTGGTTTGGTTGTACGAGGTTTTCCTTTCCTTGTTGTTTTTTTTGTAGATCTGTTTTGGGTCTAGGTAGTCGTAGAAGCGTTTTGCTGCTCTGCTCTCCTTATCCTTGCCTTTGCTTGGATGAGATTCTCCTGGGCAGTCATCACCAAGCAGGTATTCATTTTGAATGAAGTGTTTATTTCGGGTGGTTGTGTGATCGGGCTGCTCGAGCTGTTTGTCGATTTTAGCGAAAGTTTGATTGTCGAAGTCAGCCTGATCGCCATGAGTTCTTTTCCCTTTATTTTGAGCACTTAGTGCTTGGTTAATTTCTTTTTTGAGTTCTGTGAGTAAAGTGTTGGTTTGATTGGTTATTTGTGTGGTTGCACAACTGTCCTCGTCGGTCCAATCATCAGGAAATTCTTCGTCGTCAGTGTTGAGGTTAGTGGTTGTCTTCGGTTTGCTAATGAGCTTGATTGGGGCGAGTGTGGTGGAAGATTTTTCTGAAGCAGGTTCTTGGTATTCGTAATGGAAAAAATTCTGGCTTAGGTACTGCACAAGAGTTTGGAAGCAGGGATCGCACTTGCCATAATGAAACTGTTGGGTGGGGTTGGCGGTGGCGCCCAATTTTGTGTAACCCACTTGAAAATTCGCTTGACTGAATCGAAAGATCTTTTTTTGGATTATAAGGAATTGACTGCCATTGTGTTCGATGTGGATGTCAGCGAACTGAAAGTAGGGTAGTGACAATTTTTTATGAAGCCGGTAGTCGCTCAAGATGCTATCCACGGTCCGTTGAGCAGTTATTGCATCCATCTGGTTGTTCGCGCTAAGCTTTAAAGCTGCATTGTAGTAGTAAAAGAAAGGTCTTAGTTGGTATGGTTTTCCAGCATTTAAATAGGCATTGCGGAAGTCATTTTTGATTTGAATGTGAGGGGTTTCAATATTTGAGGTTCCGCTATGGAGCAGTATTGGTCGAATAATAATGGAGTTTCGGAGCTGGTAGTCTTTTCGTTCGATGTAAATTGAGTATGGCTGGCAACTAATTGCCTGCATGGCTAACTGGTGAGCATGATTCACTAACCTGGCGATGGTGTGATTGTATAGTTTCCGGTAGGTTTTGTCTGCAAGCATTCCGAGGAATGTACCTGAATTCATTGGGTAAAAGGCTACGGGGGTGGTAACCTGCAGAGCGATCTGTAAACTCTCTTCTAGATAAACGAAAAGGGCTGGATTTCTTTCGCGCTCATTCTTAAAAAACATCTTAATTGTTGCAGCACAACTTTTCCTGTCCATTTTAATAATTGTTCGAGCATGCTCTAGAGCTTTAGTGAGTTGAGCACGTTTAACGAAAGTCTGCTCGAGTTGCAGCAATTTGGGATCATGCAAGGTGGGAACTCTTGTAAACTCCTCATAATGGAAGCTCAAATGTTCCTGGTTAGGAAAGGAGCGTCGTGTTATTTGGAGTATATGGTGGCCGCAGTGTTCACGTAAATGATGGATGTGAAGAACGCCTTGGTTGGAAACAATGGTTTTGCATTGCAGCCATGTCAAGGTTCTATGGTAATCTTGGGTGTACTTACCATCCGAGTGTCCTTCAGGAACGTACTTAAAAAGCTTGGGATCTCGGCGGTCGGGGTAGTAGTAAATTCGGTAAAGGTCAGGATAGATGCTGGGATCTTTGCTGAACAATTCAGGAGGGCAATGTATCGTAGCCTAAAGGTCCATCAGCATTGGGTTATTATTGAAGACTTGAGCGATATCTTCAAGTGAAAAGTAGGGCAGTGCGTCTTGCCAGAAGAATGCTGGTGTGGTAATGCGATTCTCTTCTGTCACTAGAATACGACGAAGTAGTCGGTAGCGTGTAATGTCTTCTATGACGTAGGTGTAATTAGTAGCAAAAACTTGGACGTTATCGCCATGCATTTGCTGGATCCGCCTTGCTAGCCGAAACGCTTTTTCCTCCTTCATGAAGGCTAAAGTGACGTCTTGGTTAAGCAAGCGTGGCTATACGTCATAAACCCAGTGACGTTCTAAAGTGGCATGCACTGGGTGGTCATGTGTGTCGATGCCCTCTCCGGTCACAATGATTCCTAATGCTCGTAAGAAGTCAACTAGATGGTCGGGAATGGCGTATGGATAGAGAGCCAAGTTGTCAGCATACTTAGCGAGTAGGTTATCAATGCATGTGGTTTCGAAGAGATTGATTTGGGTTTGCGATCGGAGTGAGTTAATCAACTGTTGGAATGGGTGATCCATATTGCTTCGTTATTGAAGTCTTAAAGCGGTTATTCGCTGCTTTAAAAGTTTGGCAATTTGTTTGATTTGCTTAGCCTGGCGGTTATTCGCGTAGCTTCGTTGTTAGGGGTTTATGAAAAAATTATAAATTCTTAATATTTCAATATTAAATAGGTATATAATAGTTGATATAATATATATACTTATATAATTTAATAATTTAAATTATGTAAATAATAATTATAAATTATAAGTATTCATTATATGATAAAAATTATAAATTTTAATTATTTAAACAATAAATTACAAGATTTAAACAATTTAATTAAAACAATAAAACCAAAAATCTTTTATCATATTTATTAGTTAACTCTAATAATTCATTATATAGCATTAAAACAAAAGTGATGATTTGAAATAACTGCATATGACTGATGTAATTATAAACTTTTTTGAATAGTTATAAGATGTTTAGAAAAATTTAAAGCATATTATTATATTGATAAACAATATATTTATACAAGATTCATAATATTTATACGGATCATAATATTAATAATTATGATTAATTTTAATTTTTACTAATCCACTTAGTTAAAACTTTTTCATTTTCTTCCAAAATCTATTTCTGTTACATCCTCATCTATATCTTGGTTCACATCTCCAATCTTATAAAGTTCATAATCTGCTACTCTCTTTAGAATATTTGTATTTTTATCAGTTGCAATGTTTTTTTCCAGATGAATAATTTGATTAATTAACTTCTTTAATGTAATTGGAGTATAAATAACAGAGTTAATTCTCCCAAGCTTTCTAATTAATTTCCTTACCAACCCATTTCCTTCAATACTTGGAAATACTATAAAAATTATAACTAATCTATTACCATCCACATCCAATGCCTTTAACTTTAATGATGCTTTCATGACTTCTTCTTCATTATCTTTATAAAGAGCAATGAATGCTATATCATAAGCAGATTGATTATACAATTCTTTATATGTTTGGGCAGCTTTAATGCCTTCATCAAAGGCATCAAATGCATCAACTTTATCAACAAATTTAAAATATTTTATCATAGCATTTCTCATATTTTTGACTGGATGAATTATTAATATTCATTTTTTTCTTATAAAATTAGGTATTGTATAGTTTATTGGCTTATCATATTACATCTCTAATAACGAGGATATTGAAAGTTTTGAAATAGTTGGTGTTATCGATGATAATAGTTCAATATTCCAGGTAAACCAAAATTTACTTCCTTCTCCTAACTGACTTTTTGCTTTAATTTCTCCTCCATTAATTTCTACTAGACTTTTACAAATTGAGAGACCAAGTCCTGTACCATCTTGCTTTCTGGTTATTGATATATCACCTCATGAAAAACTTTTCCAAGCATGCTGTATAAATTCAGGATTCATGCTATTATTATTGAATAAAATTAGATAAAATACATGATAAAACATTAAATATATAATTATAAACAGCTTACCCAATACCAGTGTCATATATTTCAATTAACAAAATTCCTTTTTTATTCATTTGACTATAAGTTGAACTCAGTTTGTTTTTTTCAATAACTTCATTTGATAACATTGAAATTGTCAGTACAATTTCACCTTTTTCAGTATATTTAACTCTAAAAAAATTAATAATAAATTACTATTTATGAAAAAAAAATAATAATAATAAAAGCAAATATAATTATGTAAACATCATTACGAATTTGATAATAAATGGTTTAAAACTTGTTTCAACCTGTTTAATATAAAAAAGACAAGATAAGAACCTATTTATTTATTTATAAGATTAATTAGTTTTAATCACCTCTCAGGATCACTCTTAACATATCTCGGCAGTTTATCTACATCATAATTTACAATCAATTCAATTTTTTTATTTCCTGCTTTTTCTCCAAATATCTCAACAGTGTCATCAAATAATTCTAATAAATCAAATGTTCTATTTACAAGTGTGATTTTGTGTGCTTCAAATTTTGCTACCTCGAGAATATCATTTACTATCGATAATACTACATCAGAAGCACGTGTTATGATACTAATCATGTCTATTTGATCAGTAGTTAAATCAACACCTTCAAAAGAAGTGAGCATTCCTATTATTGCGCCTAATGGTGTTCTTAATTCTATAAAATTAAAATTAATTAGCATAATAAAATGATTTTAGAAATATATGTAAAGAAATTAATGTACCATGAGAAGTATTTGCTAAAATTTGACTCTTAGTATAATTTGCAAATTCAGCAACTTTAATTTGAATCTCCTTTTCAAAATTCTCTTCTACTAAATTTATATGAGTAATAGATAAACTTATTTGATTTGAGATTTGTTGTAAAAAGTCTATTTCAGAATCGAGCCAAATAGAATTTGGAGGTCTATATACTTTTATCCATCCCCAACAAGCACCATCTAGCCTTATTCCTGCGGATAATATGGATAAATTTTTACAAACATCATCACAAAATACATCAAAAGAAATAAATGTTCCTGAACCATTATTTAAAAATTCTTTTGAATTATTAAATGTTGATAATTCACTCTCATCGTTTGCACTAAGCTCCATAGGTGAATTTTCTGAGCTTTCATATAAAGCAATTATTTTATTACTCTCAAATTCAGATTGTTCATTTGAAATAATAGCGACTCTTTCACATGGTAATCTGTGATAGACTTCTTCAACGACATATTGTAATGTTTCCTTAATACTTGATCCAGAAAAAATTTTAGTCGATATTGAAAGTAATAACTGCTTTATTTTTTCCTGCTCAGATCGTTGGAATATTATTTTACGCCGAAGAATTGATAACTCAAGATTAGTACGAATACGAGTAATTAGTTCACGAGTAGAGAATGGTTTTACTAAATAATCGTCTGCTCCTTTATCAAGGCCTAAATAGAAAAAGTCGATGCATTAAAATCAGATAGTAAAAATAGATTTTCTATTTTATTAAATTACCTTTAATTTTAGAATCTTCACCATTTTTTGCGGATAATAATATTATTGGAATAAATTGAGTCTTTATATTAGATCTTAATACATCCAATAACTCATATCCATTCATATTTGGCATCATGATATCTATTAAATTCAAATCATTTAATTCAATGATTTTTATAAATAACACACACAAACATATATATATATGATTAAAATATAATTACTTGCCACTGAGAATTAAATCAGGTAGTTTATCAAGTTTTTTTAAAATTCTTAAAGCATCCTGACCGTCACAAGCATGGAGTATATCAAATTCTTTTAACAAGTCTGCGAGATAATCTCTATAAATATATCCAGTAATAATAAGGAACAATTTATAGGTATAACTTAATTCAATAAATAACTTATTACCTCATATCATTATTATTGTCAACAAGTAAGACTTGATACTTTTTTCCAGAAACAGGATTATTCGCGGGTAAAAGAATCGAGAACTCTTTTATTGAAGTTTGATCATTATGAACAATCGGCAATTGATCTATTATATCATTTTTGGTTTCAGATGTATTATTTTTTGTCCATAGAGAACATTCTTCCAAATAAAGTTGTCGATTAGTGTAATCACGATCTATTGGATTTTCAATTTCAAAGTGTACTTGATTTGTTGGTAAGTGCTTATATCCTATTGGAAACCAACATTTAAAAGTAGTCCCTGTATTTACTACTGAGGTTACAGTAATGTTTCCACCATGGCGTGTTACAAGTTCTTTGATGAGTGCAAGTCCTATTCCGGTACCTTCATGACTACGTGAACTTTGAGATTCTACACGATAAAAGCGTCGGAATATGCTTGGAAGCGCGGTTTCAGGTATACCGACACCTAAATTAATCCAAATTTGAGATTAATACATAAAATATATTTATAAATATTTTGCACTTCAAATAATTATCTAGAGTAATAAGTTTCATAAGGATATTATTAACCTGTGTCAGACACTTCAAGAACTACCATTCATTTCTCATCTTTATAATCAATATATAAGCGAATAGTAATACCCCCATTCCAGGTATGTTTTAGTGCATTCGAACCTTTAACGAACAAAACATCTTAATACAATAAGTTTTTTACATTTTTAACGAATAGGATATTTTTCAAAAAATTCTTACAAAGATTAAATATAATTGTTTCATACATATCATGATCTAAATAAATATTGTCATTTAAAGCCTGATTAAATTCGTCTTGATTTGGAATATTAATAACGTAATCTAAACCTAACGTTTTTGCCATGTTTTTAAATTCTAAAGCCAACTCTTTAGTAAATTCAGCTATGTTTGTTTTACGATAATGAGCTTCGAATTGATTAGCATCTATATT